TATATATATATGGTATTTGTTATGGACAATCCACGACGAGCACAGAAGTCCAATTACAAAACACCACTCAGGTTCAAATCGGGGTCGGGGATGTTCCTCCCAACCACACCCCTCCAGGTCTCACTGTCATTGTCCACGTGAGCATTGAAGTCCCCCAGCAAGATGAGGGAGTCCCCATCAGGAGCACTCTCCAGCACCCCCTCCAAGGACTCCAATAAGGGTGAATCTGAACTGCTGTTTGACACACAGGCACAAACAACAGTCAGAACCCATCCCCCCACACATAGGCAGAGGGAGGCTAACCTCTCATTCACCGGGGTGAACCCCAACTTACAGGCACCAAGATAAGGGGCAATAAGTATGCCCACTCCTGCTCGGTGCCTCTCAGCATGGGCAACTCCAGAATGGAAGAGAGTCCAACTCCTCTGGAAGAGACTAGTTCCAGAGCCAGAGCGGTGCGTCAAAGATCAGACCTCCAGGGTCCTCGCCTTTGACCACTGCCCAACACACAATGCACCCAACCCCTACGGCCCCTTCCACAGATGGTGAGTCCATGGGAAGGGAGACCCACGTCTCCTCTTCTGGCTGTGCCTGGCCGGGCTCCATGAGTAAAAGCCTGTTTCAATTTGATCCATAAACAAAATGCGATTGTTTATTTACATAAATTAAACAAACCATGAGTTAACAACTTGTGGGTAATCAGCTTCCTATAACAAGTTTTAGAATTAATAAGATATAAATTCGTGTCCGAATTCAATCTCTTTCAACTCAAAATACGTATAAAAGAACAGTAAAATGTCAGTTCTGATGTTAAATAAACCAAACATTTACTGGCACATTAAAATTAGATTCTGGCAAGGCAAAATAGTAACAACAAAAGGAGGAAAAAATAAGATTAGTATTTCTACTGTTTTATTTTTTACCAAGTATGAGAGACAACCAGATCTGCACTCCTTTCTCAACCCAGCTTCTGCCGGACCCGGTTCACCATAAACACCTCAGCCTCTTTACCTTTTTGATGACTTCTTAGACACCTTGTGAGTAGCAAGACTGGCCCACCTCTGATTGGTCAGGAAAACTCGGTAAGTCCGCTCACCTTTCACTGGTAAAACACGTTATTTCTCCAGTAACCTTCTGGGTCTGCTTCAGTTCCTAGCAAGAAAAATCGAGCTGGATCCGGTTTCTCCTTCAAAATAAAATTGCCTCCACGAAGAAAGGGAAAAATCAAATAATTGCTTTGAGGTTTGAAACCTCGGGGAATTCGACAGGTGTTGTCGAGTTCCGAGCTGTAAAGATCCACTCTTTGGCTCTTGAGTCGAACTTACAGCTCATCAGCTGAAATCTCCCGAAGGACAAAAACAGCTCCTTCCTTGTTGAGTTGGGAAGTCAGAGTGTTCTGCCCAAAGCCGTCCGGTGTTAGTTTAAGAATGGACACTTTGGTTCCACCTCTAGGCATAAGGATGAGTCAGAATAAGGTAAAGTTAAGACTTGCTAAGAGCCAGCCAAGGTTATCCTGTATGGTTGAGCAAACAAACTTCATGATAGCCTACTTAACTTATCATCTTATGAGACTCTCTAAATAAAATCACTGAAAAACATTTATGATGATTACCTGTAACGTTTCTGTTCATAATCAACTCTAAACCATTTTGCTATTTTAGATAAATGAAAGATTTTCTCAAGAAAAAATCCACAATTATATTACTTTGTTTACAGTAAAATAAAAACAGTGATTTGCTTAAAAACACAATGAAAACATTATAATCAGATTCTCTGGGATTCTTTTTATACCACTATAAATCTTCAAGGCATGATAAGAGAAAAGAAGTTATTCTACTTTTCATGAGACAGGCATTGTTTTTGATTTAACAAATGCATAAACATTCTTAGTTAAATGACAAATGAATCACGAACAATGGAGATTATTCTGTCCATTATCTGATTAAGAGGAAGAGGGGTTCTCTTCCACTGGTTAGAATGACCTGTCACTGCCTAAATAAAGTTCAGACTGGGACAGAGTTCCTGTCTTCTTCCCAGGCCTGTCCGAGGCCTGCTTAGAGGCAGAAAATCTTGTTTTCTCACTCGAGGTGACTCCTACAAGATGTATTCATAGGGGTATTCCCTCGCCTTGTCACAGGTCACCGGGGCAGAAAACTATATAAATAAATAAACGCCAAGGCCTGAAGTGTTTATATATTTTTTTACATAAGCAATGTCCCACTTGTTATAGAGGGGACTAGATTTAAAACATGCTAGAACCAGTTGTCAGGGACCCTGGTTCCATTTCAACTTCTGTCATAATATATACATTTATTTATTTGTCTTTTGGCTGCTACCTTCTTCCGGGGTCACCACAGCAGGCTTGGAAATTGTTTTTAAATCAGATGCCCTTCCTGATAAAACTACAGACCACCGAGCTACCAGAGCCCATAGCTCCCATGTGTGGAGCAAGGGTCTGGCATTTAGGGCACCCAGGGGAGCAAATGCATGGTTTAGGGGCCTCTCTCAAGGGTCCAGAGTGGGGTAAATGATGGTAGAGGAAGATGTGGATGCTTCACCTTTTCCACCCAAATTTTTGTTACATTCAGGGGATTATAACCGGCAACTTTCTGATCACAGGCTCGCAGGACTGATCTGATGATGAGTCTAGGCTCTTGTGACTGTCTTCTGGATGTTTGAGGTGCTCTTTTAAATTCCACTTTTCAAATTAAACTAGTCCTCCATGGCAGTTGTTGGTAGTTGTTATAATAAGATGGAAAGAACTGGGTGAACTTTGTTTAATTAGATTTGAATCTGGATCTATTTTGCAATGAATCGGACTGTAAACAACTTATCAATAGGGGTTGTTACTTCTTTTGGTCTTATGGTCATTGACAGGGATTCAGACAAAAATTGCTTGAAAAAACACACATATCTCTACCTGCTGTTCCGCTGTATCCTCCTACATGAACTTTGTAGCGGCTTCGAGGTTCGGAGACAGAGAACTTGTCGTACTGAGCGTATGCAGTCTCTCCTTTATCTCTGAGATCAACTCGCAGCTCGTACTGCCCTCCAGCTGTGATCTTATGTAAGTTGGACAGACCTGAGTGAAAGAGGAGATACATTGGCTGATGTTAACAGCTTCCATTATACACAGAGTAAGATTTATTACTTTAAACTTACATACTGTGGCCAGTTGTTCAAAAGGTGTAATTTGGATTGAAATTATTCAGATTTTAAAATCTCCTTTTTTTTCCTATCCAGGATCGTAATCTGTCTTACTTTTATCCCGGTTGTCCAAAGAACAGTTTGTTTGGATCAATCTTATCCACTCTTATAAAATCAGGATGAGTGCTCTAAATTAGACTACATATCACACTGAAGGCTAGACAAAAACAGTTGAGTATGAGGTCACTCAAAGTATATTAATTAAAGCAACAAAAACAGAAAATACAAACCTCATTTTTTATCTTTTGACCAGCCATAACCTTTTTTGATAAACAAAAATGAACTTCATTAAAAAATTTAAATGTTATACAAAAAAACATTCAGCCTTCTTCTGTAGAATGACCAAAAGTTTTAACCTGTGCTTTCCATATGGAGTGAGCAACATAATACTCACTTACGTATGTTGTCCTGCATTGTTACAGAGTAGAATATTCCTCTCTGGAATGAGGTTAAAGTCCGTGCCGACAGATAAAAGCAAGATCTTTATAAAAACAGGGCTGAAATTAAAAGGACGAAGCTTGTGATAAAAGTGCATCGGCTGGTGTGGTCCTTTACCACACAATCCACCTGTGACTGAAAACTCAACTTTTCATCAATAACTTAATGATGGTCAATGATACACCTGAGCCAAATTAAATTGAAGACTAGTGGTACACCTTCAAAGTAGAATAAATTATGAATCATCACTAATTCATAATGTATACATCTTATTATTTAAATTTCAGGGCACCACCTTGTTAAGGGAAACTTTTAACATTATAATTAATTGACAAATGATGATTATATATACAGTACATTATATAATAATGATTTATAATTATCAGTCTTAAAGTATTTCTCTTAAACAAAACGTGAATTATTTTATTAGATGAACATATATTTCACATCAAGACACTGGCAAGTTCAATTAAGGTTGATACACAGTTGTGCATTATGTGTAGTTAAAGATGTAAGAACAAGTAACAAGTTATGGCAAATATGATTATGAGTAGATAGGTTTATGTACAGAGTTGCACATAAAATATTTAGTCCTGCGCACTGTATGTGCAACTCTGTTTATGTAATAATGATTTGCAATGAAGACAATACAGTAGCTACATTAAAACGAGTGTCACTGACTTGCAGGCAGATTAGTATATTAGTGAGAAGAAAGAAAACAAAACTGGTTCATAGAAAATAGCCTAAATTAAATCCTATGGGGTTCTTAAAATTCAATTCAAAAATACTTTATTGATCCCAGAGGGAAATTAGGTGTTGTTGTAACTCATTTAACTAAAAACTTATTGTAGATGCTGATGGCTGTGGGTAGGAAAGATCTTCTGTAGTGGTCTGTATTACAGCAAAGTTGAAGAAGCCTCCGACTGAAGACACTTTGTCTTTCTATAACAGTCTGATGAAGAGGATGGTCAGGGTTGTCCACAATGTTCTTAATTTTATGTAAAATCCTTGTTTGCACCATCATCTCCAGAGATTCCACAGTCGTCCCCAGAAAAGAACCAGCCTTCTTAATCAGGTTGTTTTGCCTTTTTAGGTCCCTGGCTCTGATGCTGCTACCCCAACAGATGATGGCAGAAGAGATGACACTCTCAAAAACAGACTTGTAGAAGATCTGCAGCATCTTGCTGCAGACATTGAAGGATCTCAGCTTCCTTAAGAAGTACAGTCTGCTCTGTCCTTTCTTGTAGACTGCTTCACTGTCCAGTCTTTTGTCCAGATGAACACCGAGGTATTTATATTCCTCAACCACCTCCACTTCTTCTCCCATGATGGAAACAGGGTTTGATCCAGCACTATTTCTCCTGAAATCTACAATCATCTCCTTTGTTTTGTTCACATTCAAGATGAGATGATTGTTCCTACACCATGTCACAAAGCGGTCCACCAGCTCTCTGTACTCAGCTTCCTGTCCATCTCTGATACACCCAACAACTGCAGAGTCATCTGAGTATTTCTGTAGATGACAGCAGTCTGACTTGTGCTGGAAGTCTCAAGTGTACAGTGTGAACAGGAATGGAGAGAGTACAGTTCCCTGTGGTGCTCCTGTGCTGCTGACCACATGGTTAGACACACAGTCCTTCAGTCTCACAAACTGTGGTCTGTTTGTCAGGTAGTCTTTGATCCAGGCGATTGTTGAGGCCTCCACCTTCTTCTGGAGGCCTCCACCATCTTCTGGAGTTTCAGACAAAGCAACTCAGGCTGAATTGTGTTAAAAGCACTGGAGAAATCAAAGAACATGATCCTCACAGTGCTGCCTGCTTTGTTCAGATGACAGTGGGTTTGTTGAAGCTGGTCTATGATGGCGTCGTCAACTCCACGATAAGCGATAAATTGATGATAAGCAAACTGCAGGGGGTCCTGATGTGTGCTTGTTTGCTTACTCAGGTGGGTCAACAGGAGTCTCTCTAGGACCTTCATGATGTGGGATGTCAGGACAACAGGTCTATAGTCAYTGAGGGCTGATGGGTGAGTTTTCTTTGSTACTGGAACCAGACAGGATGTCTTCCACAACACTGGCACCTTCTCCTAGGTCAAGCTAAGGTTGAAGAGGTGTTTCAGAATCCCACAGAGCTGGTCTGCACAGACCTTCAGGACTCTGGGGCTAACACCATCTGGACCTGCAGCCTTGTTCTGGTTCAGTCTCTCTAGCTGCCTCTTCACCTGACTTCTAGATACAGAAAAGTGGGAGGGGGAAGGAAAGGGAGCAGCAGCATCTCCTGATTTAGTTGAAGACAAACTTGTGGATGTAGAAGAAAAGTCCATGACTGAGGTTGAAGATAAAACATCTGAGGTTTGACAGGAAAGTTGTGGGTCAAAGGAGGGTGAGATGTCTGTTTGGCTGGGGGCAGGAGAGGAGGAAGATGAGCTTGTTCCTGAGCTGAACCTGTTGAAGAATGTGTTCAGCTCATTTGCTCTGTCCAGACTTCCATCCATYCGATTATCCTTTTGCTTGAAACCTGTGATCTTCTTCATACCTGACCACACATCTCTGATATTGTTCCTTTTCAGTTTAATCTCCAGCTTCCTTCTATAAACCTCCTTGCTGTCTCTGATCTTGACTTTGAGCTGTTTCTGTATACTCCTCAATAACTCCCTGTCTCGATCCCTAAAGGCTCTTTTTTTCTTGTTTAAAAGTTCCTTTAGCTCACTGGTGATCCAGGGTTTGATATTAGGGAAGCATCTCACTGTTCTGCTGGGGATGGTGTTGTCCACACAGAAGTTTATATAGTCAGTCACACTTTCAGTCATGGCATTTATGTCATCTCCATGTGGCTGGCAATGAACAATCCAATCTGTAGCTTCAAAACATCCCTGTAGGGCTTCTTCAGCTTCCTGTGACCACTTTCTCACAGTCCTTGTAGGTTGTCTCTGAACAAGTGGTTTATATTCTGAGCAGAGATAAACAAGGTTGTGATCTGAATTACCCAGAGGAGGTCTTGCATTGGCTATATAAGAATCCTTAACATTTGTGTAAAACAAATCCAATGTCTTGTTTTCTCTGGTAGAGCAGCTGACAAACTGTTGAAATGTTGGCATTGTAGCAGAGAGTGAGGCATGATTAAAACCACCAAATATTGCCACAAATGCATTGGGGTGTTGTGTCTGTATCTAACAACAACAGAACTGACGATATCACATGCATTGTCAGCAACAGCTGCCAAAATAACACTGGTGAACTCTCTTGGTAAATAATACGGACGAAAACTTACTACCAAGAGTTCAATGTCTGGACTGCAGTGACGAAACTTCACAGTAACATGTCCTGGATGATACCATCTGTTGTTGACGAGACTGCTAATCCACCTCCTTTCTTTTTCCCGCTGCTCTTTAAATCTCTGTCTGCTCGTATAGTCTGGAAGCCTGGCAGAGAGATGTTGGCATCGGGGACATGATCCTTCATCCATGTCTCAGTGAAACACATAAAACTGAATATGTCAAACTCAAGGCCCGCAGACCAAATATCGCCTGTGGGTGACTCCCATTTGGCCCGGTAAGGGCACTAAGTGACAATATTCTGCACACAGAATTAAACAAAATTCTGTTGTCTTATGTTGACTCTGAGGAATGTTTCATGGGTCAACTGGATTATATTAGTGCTTTAGAATTAGCTTTTGCTAAAATTTTCAGTGCATTAGTGCTTTAGAATTAGGGGACCTAAATATTTGAGTTAGTGCTTTAGAGTTAGTGCAGCTAATATTTAGATTTGTGCTGTTCACCACTGGTCTTGAATAATAACGGCAGAAATGGCAACCAAACAAGGCAACGGCCAGAGTTGTAAAGTAACTAAGTACAAATACTTTGTTACTGTACTTAAGTAGAAGTTTTGGTTATCTGTACTTTACTTGAGTAATTATTTTTAAGCATACTTTTACTTTTACTTATTACATTTTTACACAATTATCTGTACTTTCTACTCACTACATTTTTAAAAAAGGTAAGAAGTAGAAAGTCATTACTCCTATTTTATTCGGAGTTGGTTGGATGAGAAGTATAAATACAGTATATAACATTCTGACACCCTATTAGCTTGTACACAACCCGTCACAGCTGCACGCCATTAGAAAAAATATTTTTGGAGAAGTCACCTCCCAATAAATGTCATTTTGGAAAATCTAACTGCTCACTTTTACTCAGTACTTTTACTGTTAATACTTAAGTAGATTGTGTGTCATAAATTTACTTTTGATACTTAAGTACAAAAAGTGTCAGATACTTTAATACTTTTACTCAAGTAATATTTTTAGAGAAGACTAACTTTTACCAAAGTACTTTTATGATAAGATACTTGTACTTTTACTCAAGTATCACTTTGAGGTACTTTATACAACACTGGCAACGGTTCGCAGTTAACTATTTTTCAGTCCAGTCCTTTTTGGA